CTAAGAGAGCTTCAATTTTAAATATAAATTAACTATAAATAGGTCAATATGAAGATGGCGCTGCTCAATATTTTTTTTTTTTTTTCGATGGAAGGATCTTTCTTATATAGCGCATCTTGTAAAAACTGCATTTTAAAGAAGATTTTGTTCTATGAACTAATTCGATAAATCTAACCATTTTTGATATACAGAGTGGGCCACTCAAAACAGTTTCATCCTGTTTTTCGGCATTAATCATTATTGGATTTTAAGAAAATGCTAAAACAGGTCGATTTTTATTCAAAATTGAACATATTTCTACAATACAGATATATGTCATGTGTCAACCCCCTCCCTTCCACTTCTCCAGCCCCTTAATTTTAAATAATGAATGTACCATGTACACATCATTGAAGATGTAATTTTATATGTTCAATTTGGAATAAAAATTAACCTGTTTTAGCATTTCCTTAAAATCCAATTATTAATGCCAAAAAACAGGATGAAACTATTTTAAGTGACCCAGTCTGTATTTAAAAATTGGCTAGATTAATCGAATTAGTTCATAGAACAAAATCTGCATTTTTTACAAGATGCGCTACACAAGAAAGTACCTCCCATCGAAAAAAAAAAAATTATTGAGCGCAGCGCCATCTACATATTGACCTATTTAAAATCAATTTATATCTAAAACTGAAGCTTTCTTAATGCTCTGTGAACTGGCTTTTACAGAATTAAAATATGTCTATTTCTTACCAAAATATCTGGCTTGGGACTTTTTATTGGTATATGTTTTCTATTTCGATGGTTTTTTAATTTTTTTCTCGAAAATGAAACACAATCCGAAAAAACTACTTTACAAAAAAAATATAATAATTTCAAAAATCTACAGAGTATTATTCTTTTTCAAAAAAAAGTAATAGACTTGCCCTGTGGGCATGAGGGAAATTTTGGATACTCGTTAATGGGTCCAAAAGATAGCTCTTTAATATAATATGAACTAAAAATTTGATTAGAATCGGTTTCACATATTAATAAAATTAATAAAGTTTAACACCTTGTATCTCAGAAAAACTAAGAGTTTTCGAACACTATGTTTATTTTGTTGTTCCCTAATACCCCTAAAAGTACAACATGACACATTATCAATTCGAAACAAGTTTCTTACGAAACATTTTTTTCTATTTTAAAAAATAACTTTACTCTACTCTTCAGTCAAATTCATATTTTTTGACTTACCTCGTACATGGTACAAACATTTTATTATTTATGAAGTTTATATTGGATTTTAGGTCATGCACAAACTTTACTACGAATAAAATTAACTGAGAAATAAACAATAAAAAAGTTTTCCATAAATTTAAACATCTCTTGCGCTAAAACCGTTACGACTTTCATCTTTATAAATGATACTTAAATTTACTGAAATATTATTTAATGTTGACAAGCTACAAGATGTTTCAAAAAAACGATTTTTAAATATAATTCGAATGTTTAAATAGATATAAACATGGGAAATAATGTTGATCATTTGTAAACCGTTTTCATACAAGAAACGTTCAAATCTTTTACCTCAAGCTCTAAGTGTATCTTAGTTATTAAAAAAGGTAAAAAAAAAACAATACCAAATTGTTTATTTTGATTTATGAATGTTCTAAGACTTTATTAAAAATGTGTTGTTTCTGTACCCATACCAATGACCGTTATATATGTCCATCTTCCCCTTCCCCCGCTTCCGAAAATAAGTGCATTAATGACATGAGTACGTTAACCGAAACATCAAGCAAAATAAAGATGAGACACTTACTTATATTTGGATGTCTGATAAATAAAGAGAGCAATTGGTTCAACCACGCCCTTTCAACGGCAAGGATGGGATATTTTTCTCTATTCAATAGTATTGTATTTGTATACCGTTCTCCTGAAGTACAGGATTAAAAAGTTGTATATTGGACCATCAGTATCGGTCATTTGACCATATTGTTAACTTGTAAGAAAGTAAAGTTTACAAATTAGTTTATTAAATAAGTGAATTATATTGAAATATCCCTACCAAATGCTTAGAAGAAAATCGCGTCGAACCACTGGCGCTGAAGCTGTAGTTGCTAAGCGATGTAGATAGACAAGTGAAAATTTGGTTTCTACAATTGAAATAGAAAAAAGAGGCGATGCTACGACTATGAAGACTAGAGAGGAGGCGAATCGGCATACTCGAAATATGGTCTCAAAAAACGAACGCTAATTAAGCTTTTACAATTCACCTCAGGGGCGCTTGTGTTGCTAGGGATGTTAAAAATACATGACTTGGCTTCTTATGGGAATTTTACATAATTTTATAATAACAAATGACTATGAGAATGACAGAACATCATTGTTGATATTGTATATGTTTACTGTCAAAAAGTTTGTACTCAGTAGGTCAGAGTTTTGATGTTGTTCGACTGTTGGTTAATGTCCTTTATTAACATTTTCCCAAGCTTCTTAATTGAGCATGTTTGTTACTTTTATGGTAACTAATCTCTTCATGCTTATCGAAATGTTCTACAGTATCTTTTCATTTACTAAAAGGCTTTCTAACCAAATACTTTCCACCTCTAACAGAAGAAAACATCAAACAATAACGGCAAAAAGCACCGTCCACTATCTTCGAATACAGCAACCACTTCCACCTTGACATCCATTGGCATATTGGCATTAAAGTTCGTGTTTAATGATTAAATACGAGTTATTTAGAATCAATTTGGTGGCCTCCATCTGTTTCTCAATGAATAACCCTGTATATTTTTGTGGTTCTCATAAAAATAATGAATTATTCAACTATACATTATTGACAGTTATTCAAAGCAATTATTTTTCGTATTTCCCATGTTTTTTTTTTTCGAATAACTGAGTCATAAATTACTTTGACGTACTACAACAACGCCAACTATTTGAAAATAAAACCTATTTTTAATTGTTTTCAGAAATGTTTTAGTCTCTGAACTTTCACACAAGTCAAACGACGAAAAATTTACTCCCTCGGACCTGACCATGCATTCACTAACGAAACATCAAACATCGGCCTTCAGTAATCAGCCAAATAATTTACGTTGTTGCCAATTTGTTAGGCTGGCATTTTGAAAATTCGACTTTCGTTTAGCCCTGCACGATCTATACTAGGTGGAAAAAATTTGAGGAATGTCCAAGTGTGATATCATGTACCGAAAGCATTTATTTATACTGTATAATTAATTAAATCATTATTTCGTAACTTTCTGACTCGTGTTAGATATTCCTGTTATTCGTGACGTCATCTTTGTGATGCCATCTCATCACTTTAATCTGAAAATAATAATATTAAAAAATGAAAAGTAATTTTTAATATATGGTCCTCATTCTCGAGCATACAAAATGTCTAAATTGAGTTACTGCATTCCACAAACCCATCGTGCATGTTTAAAGTTAAATATAGGCATGGCGTGGTAGTTTTGCTGGATATTCAAAAGTCCCATACATCCAACAAACACTGGTAGCACCACTAGTAGCAGTGTAGTAATAGTCTGCTGCGTAAAGGCTGTATGAATAAATGGTCTAATCAACAATTACTTAATTCACGATACATCCATGCCAGCAACACAGTCTGTCAAACAGTCTACTTTTAAATATACTTTAAGATCATCAGCATTCTGCACTTTAAATCAAGACAGATATCGTTTATAAATATCATAAATAACAATGGGCCCAGGGACGGTTCCTTGGGGTTCCCCAGAACTAGCATTTGGCACTATTACGAGTTAACTAACTTTTAAATTCCGTTTGTCCTTGTTTAACGTGTATTTAACTCCATAATTTTGGTTCATTCAAATTTCAAAATTATTATAAAAATAGTTCAAGTAACAAGAAAACGAAATATTGGTGTTTGCCATTTCCGATTTACGAAACAACATTCAGACATTGTTTCAATTAAAATCCATAGACTCATACACAAATAATCGCAATCTGAGGATGTATTTGTAGTGTGAGTATTCGTCCAGAAATAGACAGCAGTAAATTTCGTATAGCCAGTTACCAAACATAATTTCGATTCTGTTGTGTTGTGTTGTATTTTGCCCGCTCGAAATCTCGAAATTAACTCGGGACTCCGTTCTCCTATGTCGTAAACAAAACTCTTTACCAATTCATTGAGTAAATACGAGCTCAGACTATTTCGAATATTATTACAAACAATTTTTGATTTATGAAGCGATTTCCGAAGTCTTGATTAACTCGCTACTTCTTTATACAATAAGAATAAAACATCAGTATTGACAATTATATTTCCTCTTCTCTTTGACTTATCGATCCAGTTTATAACTAAGCCTAGATTTTAGTAACAAGTAACAAGTGAATAGTAACAGTACCACCAAATTAGATCCAACACAACCGTAATTGTATTCACTCGCAGGATACAATTAGACAGTTTAGGGACCTCTAAATTAAGGTAACTGTACCTAAATCAGACAGTTTTACCAATTTTGCTAAAGTATTGAACTGCATTATATTTGTTTTGGACGTTTCGTTGAGTTAAAAATCACTTACACGTTCAAATTATGTATTTATTTTATATTTCCTCAATTTTGAAGACAAAATAAAAAAAGGAGTATTTCTGTAGAACTGCATATGAACCTAAATTCGACATAGAACTCCCATGTTCTGACTTAAATTCGACAGAGTCAGGTACCTATTTTTGACATGCAAAATTTTATATTTTAAAGAAGAATAAGTAAGTACGGAACCATGATTTAATTTTTTGATAAAAATAATTAAGTTATAAAAAATTATGTTGTATATTCTCAGAACTTGTTTATTTCGGGAACTTTAAAAACACCTCTGTTGTTGACTTTTAATGAAACCTCAATTCTATCAACAATTTCGTCATAATCATACCAAATTTCATCAACTTCTTGTGGTCATTTCCATTTATTTACACCACTTGACGTCATTGTACTTATAAACGACTGGATTTTATTTTTAATATTCTTTACACCTGGAAAATATATTCCTTAAAAATTGACTATTACGTAATCTTCTACTTGTATCGCTTCTCTATTCAGTTCTTTTTTATTATCTTCATTCTCTAGTTTTTCTTCTATAGTCGCCTTCTTGATCTTCTTCTGCAGGTGTTTGCTTTCTCGTTTAATTTTATTTTCTTCTCTTTGTTTTTTCGTCTTTCCCTTAGTTCTTCGTGTTGTTGTTTTTCTTCTTCTTTTTTTTTTATACTCCTTCCATTGATCGGAAGTGGTCACCACTGGAATTTTTTTTCTCTTCTTTCCTTTGCTAACTGAACTTTGGTTAGGCCAGAACAACGCTTTCTTAAAAGGAGTTGGAATGTTAACAGGTATTAATTTTGTTGTCTCATTTCTGTTTTTATCCTCAGTTCTACTTGGAGGAGTAGTTTCAATAATGATAGCATTAAGATTTTGAGAGGTAGACTCAATTATTTCTGGAGGTATATTTTCCTTATCCGCATTAGGATTTTGAGAGGTAGACTCAATCATTTCTGGTAGTGTGTTTCCATTATTGTCATTTATTAGAATTAGAGCATTAGGACTTTGAGAGGTAGACTCATTCATTTTTGGAAGTATTTTTTAATTATTGATACAAATGGTTCGAGTACCAGTAATATTATTAGAGTTTTCTCCTTGTACAGCAATATTAATATCTAATTTAATACATTTACGAGTATTCTCATTGGTTTCTTTAATAGCAATGTCTTCTTCACTATTAAAGTCATTTGCTGGTACATCTATTTCATCAGTTAAAAGGACATCCCACCCTTCATCTAGAAGTAAGCCACTTTGAACGTCTGTCACCACGTTACTTTAATTCTTTTTAAAAAATTGAGAAAATCGTAACCTCACGTTTGACACACCCTATATACAACATAGCAAATGAATGAAGTTAATTAAAATTATTTAATGATGTGAAAACAATCAAATATGTATAACTACCTGCAGAGTGTTTTGTTTTAATCCTTTCAGTTCCACTTTCATTAAAAAAAGATCACTGAAGTAGATTTGTTCCTTTTCCAGGGACACCATTTGTCACAGCATTAAATGGATAAATTTTTACATCTTTTATTAGCAATTTAAAAAATATGCAAATAAAGTAAATAAACCAAAAAAAAATAATTTTTTTACCAAAATTAACACATGCATACTTCAGGGTTACTTAAGACAGTGTCCCTTTGGAGGGACAAATACATTGAATGGGTTACAAAGTATAGATTTGGTCAGCACCTCGTTTATGGACCACCTTGTATATTTAAGAATAATTCTTAAATATGGTCATACAACTTTTATATTAAAAATGTCTTCATATTTCTGATAATAAAACAGCTATCGATCAATTACGGACTGATGGGACACCCTGTATATTGAAATGGATTACAGAGAGTGGGAATGATACAACTTCAAAATAACAGAATGTTTAAGAGGCACATTTAATTTTACGCATCTATAAAAAAATACATCAAACAGGAAACACTTCTGTTAGCCATAATGGATAATTTTTGACAGGTGTACCAACACAAAAACAAGTAATACAATTAAATTCAAAATTAATAAAAAAATTGGCAACTAATCTAATAAAAAATGAAAGAAAATATTTAAATCTTACTCTCGAAGTATTTGAAAACGTATATTAAATTTACTCACCTACAATTCGCAAACTTGTGATTTATTAAAGTCAGCTAAATTTATCCTATTGGTCAGAATTTTCTTCCTAGATACCTCGAGGAATTTGAATCTAATTTTTTGCATGGTTACCAAGGGTTTTGTTGAAAAAATAAAAAGAAGCTTGAAATTGAATTCCCAAAGGAAAAACTACGTTCTTTTCTGTTCCTGAAACATTTTAATTTTTTTATCTATTTTATTAAAAATACACACAGAATCAACTTTAAAAGTAAAAGTAAGTTGTAACAAGACATCTGAAATATAAGTGATCCTAAATAAAGTTAAATGCGAGTTTTAAATTGATATTTAAGAAAATATACCTGTGTAACCAAGCAAACAAATCCATAGCAACGGATGAATGACGTAGCAGCTCCTGACGATGCTTCAGTGACTCAGTATCCAAGAGGCGAGTTCGGTCAGTCAGGGGCTGGAGCGGGACAAATTTTAGGGTGCTTTTAAATGACATTTAAGCGTGTTAAACTGTCACTAATCGGACTAAACCTAACGCTAAAAGGGTCGTTTGGAGTTAAAAGTGTTAAAGGAGTTAAAGGAACTTGGCAGACCGAACGCAATGAAGGAAGCGGCCCACACAAATCCCTGAACATGTCAACATAACCTAAAAAAAATCAAGAAGATAACAAACTTTCACGAACACAAACACTACTGAAAACAAAAAAAAAGGTATAAGACAATTATTAAACTTCTAAAATTTAACAATCACTTACTATTTCTTTTAATTTATTCTGTTTATTTCCAATTTGTTAAATAAAAATCAGCTTATAGCGGCCAGTGTTTACTATAAATAATTTGCAAGACGAGTCCATAACACAAATTTAAATATTAAACAATTACATAGTTATGCGACACCCTGTATAAACCATGGCTCAAAGGTATAGCTATTTATACAGAGTATGTATTCAGATCATATTACGAAACTAATAAAGTGCCACAACTTTTTCTTTTTTCCATCATTAGCTGTCAGTTCAAAGAACTACATTTTGCTTAGAGCCATTTACTAGAAGCCACCCATCTAATTAGAACAATTTTTTTCAAACAAAGCGATAAGATCCTCTACCTACGCCGAAATTATTATATTTCACACTAGACGAGGCGATGCATGTAATTTATCACTGAATTTCGCAATTTTTAGAACGTTAGAACACACTATCCGCCATAAATCACATCTTTACAGTTACTTTAGATTATAAAACGCAAATTACCGAAAAATTATTGCAAAAAGTAGACGTTGTTGTCTTAAATCCGAACGTTGCTAGATTTATACAAACTTTTTTTTATCAAAACTTAAATTTAAATCAACAGACTGGTTGCCAAAAGATCCCGCACATCTCTTACGGAAAAGTGGAAATCCGTCAAATATTTATAATTTACAAATAAGTTCTTAAACGGGCCACAGAATTGTAAATTTGTACAATAATAACAATTTGTAATAAAGAAGTTAACTGCTACAACAGGTATTCTTCGTTATAACTATAGGAATTTCAAATTTAAATCTGTGGCCTTAAATCCAGATTTTAAATTATTGTACACATTTTGAGTGACTGCAACCCACAATCGATTTAGGGGGACAGGAAAATATTCTTTTGGAATGGAGGAAGTTGATTTGGTTTCACTGCGTCATTTGTCTATAATCTGACGCCACTTTTTTTAAACGGGGAAAACACTGCCACGTCTAATGGTTGGAAGGCAACGCTGTCAAGTAGATATTGTTCTCCTCACTAGCTTCAATGACAGTGGGTGAAAAATGATAGGCTAAATTGTCACGAACAACAATTTTTTTTTCCAGGATTTTCAATTTCTTTAATTTTGGGCAATAAAATTTGGAAAAACTACTTTTCAAATTGGTCCATATCGAACCAGCCACTAGGTGTGTTACTATAGACTGTTCCAGGAGGACCACCTTTTGTCCAACCTTCGTATAGATTGCCTGCCTTTTACACTACCATAGGGGGTAACAATGACCTTTTTGGTTCCAGGGTCATCTTGGACCTTAGTTTCGTCGTAATTAAAAACATCTTTGATTTTACCAAAAAATTCGCCAATTTGATTCGGCTCTACCGCCGCACGTGTTCGCTTTATGTTTGCAGCCAAACGAACACGCAGATTATTCCAGAACATGAAGTTTTCAAGAAAATCTTGTCCAGGAACATTGTCTTTAAACTCGTTAACGTTACGCCCTTTCTTTTCTAAGTAGTTGTGGATTAATTCACGAATATCGGCTTTATTGAAAGGAAATCCCCAATTGCTCACTGTCACTAGTTTCTTTGTCAGTAATTGCTCTTCCGCAGATGTAAATACCGTCGGAGACCTAGAGGGCGCGTCTGTTTGCCCTTTAACTTATTTTGAAGGGTCCCTCGAGAAATTTTGAACCGTTTACTGGCCGCTGCCTGACTCATGCCATTTCTAATGACAGCCAATGCTTTTTCAAGGTCAGCTTCGGTAAAGTTTCTGTAGACACGCCCCCTACCACTTTTTCTGATAGTTTCTAGGCATGGTTGGTCACTTTATACCTGTAACAAAAAAGATCAACTGAAAAAACCGTAAAAAATATATATAATTTTTTTTTTACATATATATGACCAAACTGCCAAAGAAGGCCGAAGTGTCAAAGTAACCCCGTTTTACGGTACGATACGGCTATGAATAGAGTCTGACTTATCTGTCAAGAAAAAAAGCTTTATTACAGTAAAAACCATGGAAACATGAATAAATCTAAACGAAAACTTTTATTAGGCCGATCAGATGAATTAACATTTTCATTTTAACTACAAATAAGCATTGAAGGATGAGGTATAAATAAAATGTCTACCTCTTGAACCTGTACTACTTTCTGCAAATGAAATTACTGTACTCCTTTCTTCTCTAGACTATAGGAGGAGCGAATTGAAAAATCGCATTTAGATCAGAAAAATTACTAAAAGCGTTACTAGATATCATTATGGCGGTAAATTTGAATGTATCTGACTTTTGTAAGCAAAACATATAAAATTTTGAAGTTATCGTCCACAATCATAGGAAAAAATGTAGTTATTAGATATTTTGGTCTGTGTGAAATTGTCTGTCAAACAACCAATCAGAAGCTAGCGTTTTGGCGCCGAAAATTCAAATTTCACCTCCTTATTTATAATGTTTATAATGAATATTATTGCAACTGACTATTAAGTTTCCAACAAAAATGAGACAAGTTTGATAAAATTACATTTCAAAAAACCGCCAAAACAATAAAGTTTATGGAGGAAAAAACAGCTGTTTTTTGCATCAATAACAAAATTCAAAGAAAGTTATACACAACGGGAAGTGGATGAAAATAAATGATGACGTTAATCAAAGTGAAAATTTCATTTAGTCGAGTTTACTCGAATTACGCCAAATAAAATGGGCGCCTTGCATAATTTACACACTATTTATTGAATTCGTTGCCAAATGGATTTATTCAAGTCAGTCTTGACCCGAGTGAAAAAGACTAATTGTCAGTGTCCATGTTTTCTGCTTACAATTTAAGCTGTATTTAGAAAACAAAGTTATCTTGTGCTCTTAATGTTTTGTTATAATTTTTATAAATAGTTATAAATTATCGAACAGATGAAGCATGATATTATTATACTCCAATTTTTATATATTTTTTTGGCTTATCTGTTACACCTAATATAAAAAAGATACAATTTGGCTTATACACACAGGGTTCAAGGTGCTTCTGTGACTACGCTTTTTGGATAGACCAAATACTATGTAGCGAAAGAATGGGTGATTTGTTAACAAGGATTCTAAAGGAAACAATATTTACATGACTGAAACTAATCCGAAGA